AGATACTCTACTTTACCAAAGCCAATTATTTTGTAGATCTAAAATTTTAAACCAATCAATTTAAAGATAATGTCCCTTTCACATATGTGTGTGAAGATATTTTGCAACCCAACTTTGAAAATCCATTTTCCCTTTAATATCAAATAAATTAATTAATTAAATTTTACAAGTGTCATGCATGGCCCATGTGTGAGTTAATTAAGACATGTGATAAAAAGGGACATTAAGTTATAACCCTATATTATAAAATATAACAATATATAACAAGACATCATAACACAACCCCTTAAAAAACAAGCAATCAAATGCCAATCTAGTTCTCCCGCATAGTGATCAGCGCCCAGCTGAGCAGTGATCCTAAAGTGAGGCATGAGGTGCTACGTGGCAGCCCTATGGCCACTCGGACGCCACATGGCACTATCAGGTCAGGCCTAAAATGAAATTTAAGTCAAACAATTCGAAAACCCTCATTTTGTTAGCAAATAAAATTTTGAAAAATTCTCTAAAATTCACAATAAATATTTAAAGTATTTTCAAGTAATTACTAGATTTTCTCATTATTATAAAATCAGACAAAAGGTATAGTGAGATCTCAGGCTAAAAATTATAGGTATCAAAGTACTCCATTGGGCTAGTCACAAATGACGTTCCGTCGAGTCTCAGATCAACCCAATAGACCTATATTTCACAGTTTAAAGCAGGGATACATAATTGGTCATATCAAAGCCACTGCGTCAGAACTTCCAATTATCTAGCTCTCAATGGATTACATGTGTACCCCTGTGGGACATGATCTAACTCAATTACAGGGGTCCTCTCAAAACACATATGCACTGGCTCTTCCAAACTCAGATAATGTATTTGGAAGAGTGGCATCCTATACGAAATAAAAATGCACATGCCATGTAATGGTCTCATGTCAGAATACGAACTTATGTCCCATAAGTTTTGACCATTCCATACAAGGCGAATACTCAATAAGTACTCGAGTTCTATTTTTCTCATTTGGATTCTCCAAGCCTTGGTCGATCGCAGCTAAACATGATGCTAACCTATAAAATCTTAACTAGGAGGTGATCCTCACACCTCCTTGAGAAATTGCTTTCTCAACACGTAACCTCTCAATGCCTCATGCGTACTCTGGGTAAAAGAATCTGGGCTCCATTTCGCAAGGCGCCAAGATTTCAATATCTCAATCGCTCCCACTAAATAAGAGACTATTGGAATTTAGGCCTTGGTAGGCCATATTTCCAACAGTGGAGAGGCGAGCAAGTTTTCAGTGACAATAAGTTTACATCAAGGGTCAACATTGAGCCCGTATCTCTATCTTAATTATGGATGACTTAAATAGACACCTGCAGATGAGGTACCATGGTGCATGTTGTTCACATATGATATATTTTTTATCAATGAAACTTGAAACAATGTCAACAAAGCTAGAACTTTAGAGGAATGCTCTAGAATCCAAAGGCTTTAAAATTAGCAGGACTAAGATAAAGTACATGGAATGTAATTTTAGTAATAAAATGAGTATAGACGAGGAAATAGTTAAGATTGATGACTAGGAAGTACAAAAAAGATCACATCTTTTGATACCTTGGGTCGATAATTCAGGAAAATGGAGAGATTGAGACAGATGTCGCACATAGAATTCGAGCTTGGTAGGCGAAGTAGAGATGTGTAACTGGAATTTTATGTGATCACCGCATATCAATGAAGCTAAAAGGTAAGTTCTACAGGATAGTTGTGAGACTAACTTTGCTTTATAAGATGGAATGTTGGGCGAATAAAAAACAATATACCCATAAAATGAATGTAGCGGAGATGATGATGTTGAGATGGATGAGTGGTAAGACAAGAAAGGATAAAATCTGAAATTAACCCATTTGGGAAAGTTTAGGGTGACACTATAGGCGATATGATGATAAAGAGTAAACATGTGAGCTGGCTATGTGTGGCGTCGACCTAATACAACACCTGTTAGGAGGTGAAAGTTAGTTCAAGTGGAATGATTGAAAAGGGCAAAGGATAGACCTAAAAAAACGTGGTTGGAAGTAGTCTAAAAAGATAAGAAGACTTATGGCCTCATTGAAGATATGACTTTAAATTTAGCAAAATGGTAAACCAGGATTTGTGTAGCCGACCCCAATTGCTTGAAAAAAGGTTATGATGATGATAATAATCTCCCTCATAAATAATACCAAATTCATGTTCCTTGCTATGTAGCTCCAAAATCCTACTCAAAAGTCTCATCAATTCTAATCCTATAATTCCTATTATTACGCTTTTTCCACCTTATCAAGTCAGATTTTATCCTTTAAACCTTCTTGGAAGGAGTAAAACTCCACCTTTCATGGAAATCACAATTCCATGCCACTTTCACCATATTATTGACCTCTTTATTCAATGCCTAGGCCATTTCAAATTTGAAATATGTTCTTCTCTTTAATCATCACTCTCTAATAATACAGGAATACGGTCCGATGATAGCTTAGGCAAATCTCTTACTGATGCTAAAGGAACATGTCAGACCAAGACATGTCAACCAGAAATCTGTCCAGTCTCATCATAATTCTGTAAACAATTATTAGACCTCGTGTATTTTGCTCCTGTAGATGGCAAATCAATTAATTCATTTTCAAAAATAAAACGCAAAAAATTACACATACTAGAATTCAAGCTATGCATGCTAAATTCCTCCAGCCATCTTATTATATTAAAATCACTAACAATGCACCACGTCAATTTAAATTCCAACCAATTTTGATAGTCAGTCCAAAATTCATTTCTAATAGATGGATCATTCAGCCCATGCACGTTATTGGCAACCGTTTACGTCCAGATTCAATATTCACAAAAACATTATATATAGACTAGACATCCATCCTAGATCAGACCGACATCAAAACAGTACGATCCCATAAAGACTAAACCCCCCTAGAACGTCCACAAGATCCCATCAAGGCTCTCTCTCATATTAAAATTGACCATGCTTGGGCTGCAGGATTAAGTATTGGGAAGTACTAATATAAGGAGCGCATGGATCCACTGTTATGAAGTAGAATATTTAAAATAAAGAAAATATCAAAAAAGGGGTTCAAACCCCTGAAAATATCAATAAAGAAGTCAAAAGATTTCAAATTACACTCGAGAGTATACCTTTTAATTTGTATATCAACTAAGCACTTCCTCAAAAACAAAAAAAAAAGAAAAATTGAAAATTTTCAAATTGCCCATGTTTAGTGTTAAGAAAGGACAATTAAAGGTACTTTTGATAATTTTACCCCTAAAGAGGTATTTCTGTAACTTACGTTGGTGCCAATTTGGGGCTAAAGTTACCAAAGTACCCCTAATGGTAATGATTTCTCAACACAGAGCAAGAGCAATTAACTTTTCAATGTTTTCTTGAGAAAGTACTTCATTAATATAGAATTAAAAAAACCTGCTCGTCAAATCGAATTAAATTATTGTAAGGGGTTTCAACCCCTTTTTTGATATTTTCCCCTTATTTCATTAATTAGATTTTTTATTGTATGCTTCTAATTAAATTATTTTAAGAAACAATAGAAGTTGAATTTGATTAAGATGAAGGTCACTCTAATCTATAGTTAGCAAGCCTCTGTAAAACACAAATATTTTATCTTTTTTTTAAAAAAAAAAAAATTTCAAAAAAACCTTCTTTCCTATGACTTTATTTCTTCATTAACTTAATGTTATTGAATTTTAGTTTAAAAATAAGTACATTAACAGTGGGAGTAAATTAAGAATCTTGATTTAACAAAAACTTCCATAAAAAATTTCACCAATGATTTCCCTTAAAAAAAATGTACGAAAAAAATATAAGCAATATGTTCCTAAAAGGAACTAATTAAAACCATCATATATATTAAAATAATAGACAAAATTAGAAGAAGAGGAACCTAATGAAAAATCTATTATTTTATTTTATTTTACACCCATAGCGTCCTTATAAAGAGCATTAGAGATTCAATGATACTAAAGATTCAAGTAGCTAGGAATTCAGTGCGAGATTTAAATTTTCCTTAGCATTTGTTTTTTTTTCTGCATAGAGAAGTTAATTAATTTCATATTTTATTTTTTATTTATATATTTTATTGGTGCATACAACATAGCATTTTACATGGGCCACTATTTTACACATTTGGGTCTTTGCTTTTTCTGTTAATTAGCTGCAATCTTATATTGAAAGCATTTTTTGTTTTTTTTTTTTTTTTGAAAAGTAACCTTATACTTTGGTTCACAGTTCTTGTTATTTGCTAATTAGTTATTGTGTTTGGTATTGTTGTTGTTGTTTCATTTTGTACTCCCAATAAATCTACATTATATTATGTGATGTGACAAAAGCATTATTGCTGGATTTATTGAAAGTTTCAACAAAAAAATTGTTAAGTACTACTCTAAAGACACTAGTAACGCTATAAAATTATTCTTTAATAACTTTATTATATCTATACAATAGCTGCAAATCTTAAATCCTACGTCATGTCATCTTTATTCCGATTTTTTCCCTACATTTTTTTTAACCAAATTCAAAATATTCACAATTTTATGGCTTACCTTATTTTTTAGCGATACTTATTTTTTACCTGATTTCCTTCGACTTTTTGAAATAAAACTGACTTGTTACCGATGTTACTGCCAATATTTTATTTTTCCTCATCTTGTTAACTATGCTCTAATCTCCTATCTACAACCCACCCCAAAGATATTCGGTTCAGGTTCTTTTCTAGCTGCATGCCATGCATCCTTGCCCTTAACCATAGTATAATATATGAAAAATAGGCAACACAGAACTTCTGAAGTCAACCTTCAAGATGGAACTTCATTTGGAACAGTGCTTATAACTCAAAAGGTTGGGAGTCGGCACTTTCAGCTACTACATTGTTTTCTATTTCCTAGGTGGTTTAATGATTGAACAATTCAGTGGCTTTCACTTGTTAAGAGATATGTTGTATCTTACTCTTGTTTAGTAGGTCTCAGAACCACCAAGCCATAGAAACGAACTTTCATAGACAATCAATAATGCAATTCTTCAACTTTTTCATAAGATTTGTCATGTACACAATCAACTAAGACTTGTTCCCAGAGCTCAGTTGTCTAGCAAGAAGGAGGAGGCCGATCGCGGAAAATGCAGACAAGGCAGTACATGAATAGCCAAGGGCAAGCAATGCTCCCCGCAGAGACTGCATCCATACCAGCTTTTAGACATGACCCTGATATTTGGCCAAATAAAAAAAAAGAATCTTTACTACTTACCCAAACAAATTAAACCCACCTTGGCTAGTAGCAAAGCATTATCATTTGCATATTGCAGTGAACTCTCTGGTATGCTCGAGATACCTTGGCTCAGTTCCCACGAAATAATTCTGAAAGAACAATAATGGAGATAAATCATTGCACAATTCTTATTTCCTAATCATAAAGTGACAAGGTTAAGTAACAAGGATCGACCCAAAAACAAAACCAATTGCAGCTCCAATATTTGCCTTCTCAGGAGTCAACGCGACTTGCAGTTCCCCAAACTGCAAAAGAAAAAGGCCGCTACCATCAAGATTTTGAAAGGCGTATGGCATGAAAATAATCATATAAAAGTATTAAAACGACAGGGCACTTTGAACATCCTGCTTTCTTTTGTGGGGGTCTCATTTGTTGTGAGAACTGGTCCAGCTGTGAGAGCCTTTCCAGCTTTCGCCATGGCCTTGGCTATCTACAACAGAAGATATCAAAATGTGAATGCTTTATAAGATTAAAATCATCAAATAAAAAGCCTGAAAGTGCAAAATACAGATATAAATACAAGGGCATTTAGGTATGACTCAAAAAATCAAATAGGAAAACAAATTCCTTCACCAATTGAACAACGTGGCATACAGTCAGCGTGTGAGTGAGACACTATTGATGGTTTAAGAAGGTCTGTGCTGTTTTTGATACTTTTACATGTATCCCATTTATCAAACAAAAGAAATTTTAGCATTAAAACTCTCATGTATCAAATTGTTTTTGATGGATTCTCATGCATCAAATTGTTGCTTTCACTTCAAGTTCAAGAGAGAATTAGAATAATTGTGGGGAGACAAACTTCATCAGAACTCACTTGTCAGTGTTTGACTTTTAGATGACAGTCAACCATTCAACCGCTACTTTGGCCACACCACATGTTTTGGTTAATATGCATTCAATGTTTCACTGAAATATGGTAGTTTTGTAAATGCGATAGAAATTGGTATTTTCAGTTTTCATCTCACACAAAGTCACGGCATTTTTTAGAGTGTGTGCACACCTGAATGGGGTTCTAGGCATCAAAGAAGCCACCAAAACATGTTGTGGCTATCACCTGAAATGCCACCTCAACAGCACTGAAATGTAATTTCGGGTGGTATCTAGACAAGCCCTTGGCATTTTGAGAAACAATCAGAGGACCATTATGAAGTTCTGGGGCAATAGTTTGTTTCAGTATAAAGTCTCCTAAGCTCAAACAAACTGATGCTCACTCTCCCTTATGGCGTCACTCTTCCTTCTGGTCTCCAAGGGTATGACTGTCAATAAGCAGTACGCTGAAAATTGCCTCAATTCCCCAAAAAGTTTGGTCATACTGTAACGGTTAACCTTCAATTATATTCATGTATAAGAAAACTCGTTATCACATTAGTGCAAGATTTGTTCTGACCTGCAGATAATACAATCAGTGCTGCTTTTGCACATCTAGGTTAAGCCAAGAATAGGAGATAGATTACTCATATACTTAGAATGCTGATTTCAAGAATTAAAGCATAATGAAGTTGTTCCAGTTTAACTTGTTAGCAGGCTGAATATAAACCTGAACATTATATAACAATATAACAGGTAAGTTTGGATGCCAGGCATATAACAGAAAAATAAGGAAATTAAAAAATAAAGGTAATTTGAAACCACGACAAAACTTAATAAAATTCAAAACTTTAGATTGTACATATGGTTGCTCCTTAACTATGCTGGGAAAGGCCACAGAAATTATATCATCAGGACCCCTCAGCAGAGGTCTACCTTTGTTGTGTCCTGTCATTTACAGTGCATATATCATTGAGTGCCCATGGGTAATTAAAAATACTGAGCGCACATAGCAAAAAGTCGAATTGCAAAAAATGTTTTTGGATTAGTTCAAGTCAAGGATGACTGTATTCCAGTTATTCCTACTCATCAAGAATCAAATGAGGTTGAATCACTAAAATGTGACTCTGGAAGAGCGACTCAAAGTCAATTTAAATGAGTTACTTTGAGATGAATGGATTTACCAACTTGGATCAAACACGACCATGGTTCTTTAAGGACCCTTAAATCTGGTTAAATCCAGAGCAAAAAGCGAGACATAGGAATCTTCAGGCTCTTAAGAAGTGCTATTTCTTAAAAAGACATGGTAGAATTACAAGCTGGCAAACCAAGCCTCCTCCCATGCTCAACCACCCACACCATCTAGCTACGGCTTACGTTGGAATTAACCATTAAAATTATCATCAAGGAAACAGTCATGGGGCTCTGCCACCACCCAGTGGAGCTTGTTTGAAAAACACAATAGATTGACCTCCTTATAACTGCTTAAGAGGTCCACTGCTTTGAAATTGTTAAAGAGAACAAAGGGCTCAGGAACTCACTTGTTGACCATGGAATGGTCCATTTAAGGTATTCAAGGCATTAAAAATAATTGAAGATAAAAAACATTTAAGGTATTAAGCTCCGCATCAGGAGACAAAATTAAACCAAATCAGCCAAAACACCAGTTTCAAATCACACTAGTCATACTAAGGTTGTGGCTTTCTATACTTTCTAGGTTGCTTAAATGAAAAAACAAAGGTTGCTTAAATAATATGACAGTCTAGTGTCCACTAATAACTCAATACAACAGTAAAGGGGATAAAGAATTTCAAATCTCAATAGTCTTAAATAGAAGCAAGCTCCATTTGCCACAAGAAAATACTTAAAGGAAAAAAGAAAATGTTCATACAATTGAATTACGGTCGATATGAACTCTTTAATATTCCTGAAGAAGAAAAAAGTCAAACAAAAAACTAAGGCAAAGAAGTAGAAGATGAAAAAGAAGAAGAAGAAGATTGATATAAAAAAAGAACAAAAGTACGAGAATGAGAATGATCACCGACGATAAATCCATTGAAATTGACTTTTTCAGTAAGTAGAAGAGGAATGTGGTAGTTGCAAAAAAAACCTTTTGTAGCTCGCCTTGACCATACTGTCCCATGGTCTCAAACCTCCTTCCAGCAGCTAAGAATCGTTTTCCAAGTGCTGCATTAATTGAAAGGAAATGTCACAGATATATTAGAGAAGATCAAAGACAAACTAAATTAAAAGAAAAAGAGTAAGAGTTATAATCAACTTGGTTCTCACTCTTACCTGACTTTGCATTATCAGTCAGTGAATCATGCAAAGAGGGAAGCTTACTTGCTATGCTACAAGAAGTTTGAGCATCAGCCAATTCCCATGCTCTAGAGAGATTCAAAAGCATCTCTCCAAGCTCTTGCCCGCACTGAAAACAATGAGAAACTCCAATTTGCTTCAAAAGTCCAGATCCAGATAATGGACCAGTCACAAAAGTTTTCCAGATAATGGACCAGTCACAAAAGTTTGCCAAAACTTTTAACAAAATAAGGATTGAATCCCATTAAGGAACCCATTTGATTTCTTAGCAATTTAAGAGCTCTTTCATCTACCCAAAAAAAGAAAAAAAAAAATAGAGCTGTTTCATGTACCGTTCCAATTATTTCCAACTTTATGAGTTCTAAAACAACATTAGCACCAAAAGATAAACGAGCATAATACAAGATTAGCACATTGCAACAAAAGGAAATAGAAGGAACTTACTTCATCAAGCACAGGTCCATTAGACAGATCAAAAGCCGCATCGTTAAGCTGCATAACTTGCACGAAAAGAAAACACATTGGTAAATTAACCATGGGGAGTTTCAGAAAATACTATGAAACCCAAATTGCACTTACATCGATTCGAAGATCGCCCGGGAGTTGGGAGAAGTAATCAGGAGGAAGAACCAAGCAATCCTGAACAAACCATAAAACTAAATGGCTTTTACGAATTGTGGATAAAAACCAAACTAACAGAAAATGAGAACTGAAAAGCTTGGACATTGGTATCAATAAATTACAGCAACTTGTTGAAGGAGTGGAAGAGAATCTTCCTTGAGAGAACCGGGTTGGTTTGCTTCTGCAATTGCTGAAAGTTTGACATGAAAAGCTCCGGTGCTCTTCAATGGTTTTTTGGAGGCTCTGGAGAGAGGACCAGGCGCTGTGACAGTGAGGAAAAGAAGAGTGGGGATTTTTGGAGGGGGGAAATGGGGTGGGCGAGGAGAAAGTGAAGGGGTTGAGAGAGAAACAAATGAAGTGGAGACCATTGTTCCATGCCAAGAATGACAGTGGGATTTGATTTGGAAAAGGAAGGCAAGGAAAGTGGATAAGGGTCGAATTTGAGTCCTTCCATGTGTCTTCCTGACCCCTACGGAGTATCAAATCTTTCGTTTGCCAAAAGATTTGGGCTTGTTGGCTCCATGACCCTGATTTGAATCAAAATCAAATTATTGGTTATGTTAAAAACTGGTTAGTCAAACAGGATTTGGTTGGATAGTTTTGAACAGCAACGAGGTTATGCAAATCTTATATTTGCATCATCTTTTTGTATAACTTGGTTTTCTTTGCATCAAACATATTTATAGGGATTGTATGCAACGAGGTTATGCAAATCTTATATTTGCATCATCTTTTTGTATAACTTGGTTTTCTTTGCATCAAACATATTTATAGGGATTGTATAGCATGAGACCATTTACTCTTAGTATTATCACAATTATTTATAACCATTTGATATGAAATCTGATAGCTAGGGTGCATCACAAAGTTGAAAAAAATTTATTTTGAACTTTCAGCTTGTCATGGAATAAATATATAAATATAATTTCACATGTAGTGGTCAAGATTAATTGTGACCTTCTTGTAACAAAGGTAAATGGTATCATTGTATACTTTTTATATTAATATAAACAAACAGTTCATCGGAAAAGAAGAATGTTTAAGCATGTTGTTTCCCATGTTTGACAAACATAATGGAAATTGGCCGACAGAGAAAACACATCAAACTTTGAAATTTTGAGATAGTTTCTCTCTCGAAAAATTTCAAGATAGTTTATCTCTCTAAAAAATTAAAATTTGATATAGTTTCTCTCTCTAAAATTTTTGAGACAATGTCTCTCTCTAAAATTTGAAATTTCGAATAGTTGACGATGTCTCTCTGAAAAGTTTTTGATAGCGCTTCTATCTCTAAAAATTTTTAGGTTCTCTCACTAAAATTTTAAGATACTTTTCTACCCTAAAACTTAAAATTGGAAATTGTTTCTCTCTAAAAATTTTGAGATATTTTTTTACTTTAAAAGTTTTAGGTAATTTCTCTCTCTAAAATTTAACATAGTTGTTAATATTTTTGGTTTGAAAAATGCATAAGTGTATATCAAAACAACTTTGGTTTTATTGTTCTTTCCTAAATTGTTTTGTAGAGAGAGAAAGATGTGGGTTTGAGTCCCACATTGAAGAGAAGAGAGTTTGTTGAGGTATATTTAAGAACACGCACTCCCATATAATATAGTCTAAGTACAAAGGAGAGAGAAAGATGTGGGTTTGAGTATCACATTGAAGAGAGGGTTTGTTGAGGTATATTTAAGAATGCGCACTCCCATACAATATTGTCTAAGTACATACAATATAGTCTAAGTAAAAAGGAGAGAATAAAGCTCTGCATGTACAGAGCACGTGAAGCATGCAACATGCACGTGCGAGGGTGCAAGGGAGCTTGATGCCACATGCTCGCCACATGCGAGGGTGCCAGGGTGCTTGATGCCACACGCTTGCCACATGCGATTGCATGAGGCGACGCCCCTCACCCAACAGTCATCAAGTGTATACATGAGGCGACGCCTCTCACCCAGCAGTCATCAAGTGTATGCATGAGGCGACGCCCCTCACCCAGCAGTCATCAAGTGTATGTAACTCGTGTAACTTGTAGTTGTTTTGGGGTACATGTAAAACACATGTAACTCCTCTTGGCCGTCTTAAAGACATGTAACTCCTCTTGGCCGTCTTAAAGACATGTAACTCCTCTTGGCCTTCTATAATAAGGGCCTTCCTACCCATACGATTTTGGGGACACTTAAAACAATATTTTAGCCTCTCTCAATAGATCATTATTCGCAATTCCAATGCGCAATTCAGTGGGCTAACTCTCTCTCTCTCTCTCAACTCGATTTTCTCTCTTTCTCTCTCTAATACATCAAGATTGGTGTCTATTATGTGGATTCCAAGCTCGGGTCCATAAAGCTTAAGAATATTATTATAAGACCTCTCTATTTTCCTGTATCCGGATGATCAATTGCGCTTCTTATGCATAACAAATACTCAATCAAAGGGAGGCAAATATTATTTTGAGATAGCGCTCCTGCCTGTCCGAAAACAAGAAGAGTTCGAGATCCTATTTTTGCAAAATGTACAATTTTTTTTCCCCCATTTCATCCAACAATTCAAGACGATATTTATGGGTGAAAGAAATGAGATTGTCATGACTTCTTTGAAGGTCACGAATCACGACTTTACTCAACTCGGACGTTTCAATGACCTGAACTTCAAGAGATGGCAGCAAAATGTCCTTTTTTTGCTTACCACTCTCAAAGTGGCTTACATAGTCATCGAGTCAATGCATGCACCACCGCCACCATCGGATGACTCCATCGACGAGCAAACTTAATTATACAAGAGATAGATGGAGGATGACTATATATGCAAGGGTCATACCCTAAATGCCTTGGAGAACCCAAGCTATAACATGTATGCCTTCATTGGCATAGCAAGAGAGCTTTGAAAACTTCTTGAAACCAAGTACCTAACCGAAGAGTCTGATAACAAAAGATTTCTAATCTCTAACTTTTAAAATTTTAAATTCATTGAAAACAAGCCTATACTCTCTCAAGTATATGAGGTGTAACTTGTAGTCAATGAACTTAAAGATTGTGGGATTTCTTTAGATGAATATTTCCTAGTAGACCCATTAATTCATAAGTTACCCCCATCTTGGAGAGAGTGCCAAAAGAATATAAAACACAAGGAAGTTTTCAACTTCAAAGATTTCTTCGCATTGAAGAAGAGAACAGACTTAAGGAAAAGAAAGATGAATCAATTAATCTTCACTATAAGGCAAACCTTGTTGAGCAAAACTCAAGTGCTCTTTTTAACAAGAAGCCTTTCTTTTCTAAGGTCTATAATAAAAATTATAATAACCAAAAGTCTAATGCCAACAAAAATGGCTTATTTGATGGAAAATGATACTCATATGATGGGATGATTAAAGTTTGATCTTGTTAATGAAATGAATAAGTCTTTTGTGCATATTGTTACTTCTTATAATATAAGACATGGTAGATTAGAACATGTTAATTATGTTTCTATTAAATCTCTGATTAAATTAGGATTAATTTCTAATTGTGATGAATTACCTAAGACAAATGTGAGGTATGTGTATAAGCTAAAATTACTAGAAAATCATTTCAATAGAAAGAAATAGTGAATTGCTATGACTTATATATAGCGATGTATGTGATTTAAATAATGTTATAACTAGAGGTGATAAAAGATATTTTATTACTTTTATTGATGATTTTTCTAGATTTTTTTATGTTTCTTTGCTTAGACATAAAGATGACGCTTTCAAAAAATTTAAAGTTGTCAAAACATAAGTTAAAAATCAACTTAGTAAGAAAATCAAAATTATTAGAAGTGATAGAGGAGGCAAATATTTATCAAATAACTTTAATGAATTTTGTGCAAATAATAACATTATTCATCAAGTAACTACTCCATATATCCCTCAACAAAATGGACTAGCGGAAAGAAAAAACAAAACTTCAATTGAAATGGTGAATGCAATGCTTATTTCTTCTTCATTGCCTTTGAATTTTTAGGGTAAAACTTTATTATCTGCATGCTTTAATTTGATTTAAAATTCCATATAAAAAGAGTGATAAGACCCCTTATGAGCTTTGGTTTGATAAAATACCTTTTTTGAACTTGTTTTTTGGAGTTGTCTTGCATATGTTGGACTTCCGGATCCTAAAAGAAATAAATTGGGTCTTAGAACATCTAAATGTGTTTTTGTGAGATATTCTCATAATAGTACAGCAGATAGAATTTTCAATCTAAATTCTAACACAATTTTGGAATCTAGAGATGTTAAACTTTTTGAAAATTTCACTTGTAAAAGTAAAGTGAATGAATCTAGTAGAATGCAAATTGAAAATGATCATAATGTTGATGAAGAACATGTAGAAAATAATGATAATGAAATAATAGAACCAAGAAGATGTAAGAAAATTAGAGGTGATCCATCTTATAACTTTCGACCAGACTTTTATATTTATCTTGTTTAGGCTAATCAAAATAAAATATTAAATTCATTGTTTATAGCATCAAATGCGGAGGAAAATCCTACATTTCTAAATGAAGCTTTAGCATATCAAGATGCAATTTTTGAAGAGAAGCTATTAATAACAAAATGGATTCCATAATAGCTAATAAAACTTGAAAATTAGTAGATCTTCCACAAAGTTCTAAACCCATTGGTTATAATGGATTTTTAAAAGAAAAATGAATTATGATGGTTCTATTAATAAATATAAAGCAAGATTAGTTGCTAAATGTTTTAAATAAAAAAAAGACATTGATTATTTTGACATATATGCACCTGTGGCAAGAATTGCTACTATTATATTGCTCTTAGTAATAACCTCTACTTATCATCTAGTCATACATCACATGGATGTAAAAACTGCTTTCTTAAATGGTGACTTTGATGAAAAAATATATATGGAACAACCCGAAAGGTTTGTAATACTAGATTATGATAATAAAGTTTGTAAATTGGTTAAATCATTTTATGGACTAAAACAAGCACTTAAACAATGGCATAAGAAATTTGACAATGTGTTCATGTCAAATGGTTTTAAGAGAAATGACGTTGATAAATGTGTGTATAGTAAGAAACTAAACTCTTTGTGTCATTATTTGTTTATATGTGGATGACATGCTTATCTTTGGCGCTAATCTAGAAATCGTGGAGTAAACTAAAAAGTTCATCACATCTAACTTTGATATGAAGGACTAAAAAGTTCATCACATCTAACTTTGATATGAAGGACTTAAGAGAGGCTGATGTGATACTTGGTATCAAAATAGTGAGAAAAAAAAAAGGTATTAACTTTGATTCAATCTCACTACATTGACAAAATTCTTAATAAATTTGAGCATACTAATAGTAAGTCAGTCTCTATGTTTATAGATCATCATATTAAGTTAAAGAAAAATAATACGAAATGTATATCTCAACTTGAATATGCTAAGATAATTGGTAGTTTAATATATGCAATGACTAGCATGAGGCCTA